GCACCCATGGACAAGAGATGTGGAGGCATGTCTAGCGGCTGGCGTAACGAGGGACGTCGACGGAGCGTAAGTTGTGCGCGTACGTTTTTTTCGTTGTGCGGGGATCGAGTGTTGACTTTATGCTACGGAATTTTGACGGGCGGTATGGTCACAACGCTCATTCGCGCTGGTTTTCGCTTGTCATCCCAACTTTTGCCTGTCACTAGAACGTGAGCGCTCGGTGACCGACGATAGTTTCTTCACAGATGCCACCCAGCTTACCAACACACAGATGGCGACACGTGGTCAGGCGGAACTTGATCGAACACCTATACGTTGCCTATGTCATTTAGGCGAAGAACCATTGCACTAAGCACCCATCATATCTCCATCAGAAGTAGCCACGGCAACACTCGCTGGTTGCCCCTCTGGCGTGGGTGCTGACAACAATATATAGTGTCGTCGATTTCCTCGTTTGGAAATTCCGCGCTCCTTCGCTGCGCCCGCCGCATACAGGGTGTCTTCTTGGGGCTCAGCACGAGCGAAAGCTGCGGCCGTAGCGGTGGCTCAGTCGTCCATCCTGGCCCCTTTCTTGGCGTCGCCCTCGGCACGGTGCTTGTTGCGGAACAGCAAGACCGGACGGAAGGCCATGGGAGGGAAAACCGCCGCGGAAGAAGTCGCCGTCGCAAGGCGAGTCATAACCATGTGGGGACTTATCCGCGAGAACCGTGTGGCCCGACGTGCTAGGTCAACCTCCACATGTGATCACGACAAAGATCCTCTGAAATTCTGAGCAAGACCAAAACTAATCCTCGTTCGCCAGTCTACCCATCACCCTGTAGATTCATGTTCCTCTAAAGAACGTGCGGCGAAGTCAATACACCGCCATTCCAGTGGAGAGTAGTTTTGCGGTTTGCGAAATCTGTTATATTAGATGGCATTTGCGCGGCATAAGTCCATGGGTAGCACACAAATCTGATATCGAATCATCGCGGTAACAAGTGTTCGTGGCACGACCATGGTAGAGGATTCAGAATCCAAAGTTACGGCTAGAGAATTGTGGCGTTGCCTGGAGTGAGGATCTATTTCTGCGTGTTTGCAATTTAAGGATTGTTTCATGCGTCATGACCAACTTGGCTGCAGATCGAGGCGTCCCTGGCGGACACTCTTCGAACGCACTCTCGGATCGTTGCCATACGGCGCCGTCCTGAGCCTGGCGGGAGAAAACGGAGAGGAGAACCTTCCAGCCTCGACGGCAACGGCGGCGGCGGGCAAAGTTGTGTGGGCGAGCGAGGGGTTTGAGAAGCTGGCTGGCGTTGACGCTATCGATGTCGTTGGGCAGGAGGTCGGCTCCTTGTTCGAAGTAGGAGGTACCGAGGAGGATGAGGAAGGCGAGGAAGCAGGAGAGCTGAAGCGAAGCTTGGAGATTGGACAGGCGAGTTTTGCCGGACACTCGCTAGTAGACAACGATGGCGTCGTCAACTGCCAACTAACATAACCACGGTTTTCGGGCCGCCTTTTTAATACTGTTTTCCATCACTTTTTTCGGGATTGTGGAGCAACATTAGACCCGTGTGTAACTCTGCATCCACCCATCTTTCCCTCTGCTTAAGGGGGACGGACCCCTGCCACTCCCCTTCCATCCCTCTCCATCCATGTTTCCTGCAATCTCCCTACATGCCCTCATTTCCCGCCAAACATGCTTGAAATTGCTACATCATGGCTTCAGGGTTGCACGCTGTGGATGACGATGGGGGAACAGCAGGATGGCTTGACCAACGTGCTCTGCGTGCACCAACCGGTGACGGTGCCACCTCAGCTAAGCGAAGAGGGGAGGTACTCGGTTCTGCTTTTCTTTGATACGGCCTCCGTCCTATTTGAAAACCCACCAAGACAAGCAACAGAACAGCAAGCAGAAGGGGGCGAGGTTCGGGGGCAGCAAGCAGATTCACTCTACCTAAAAGGGAAAGACCAAGACCGTGAGCAATACCGACAACGGACCTGTTACAGCCTGTCGAGGGCGATGGCAACTCTCTTGGCCGACAACGTCGACGTTGACATCGCCGACGGTCTTTTGAAGGAGGCCTGCGTTTCTTTCGATGGGAACAACGATACCGGCTATCAGAGCGAAACACTTACCCCAAGCGGTGATGACAAGAGCGCACGCATCGTCCACGGAAGAAGAAGGCTAGGGAGCAACGACATCGAGGGAGAAGCCGGCGATGTATATTTGGGCGGGCAGCGGGGGAGTGGTGAAGTCAGGGGTCCGACTAGCCAGGAACAACGCCCTTTGTTGCAATCGAAACGATCGGGGACGACCTACCGCTCTGATGATGTCTCTAGATACGCGGCAGAGGAACGAAAAGGAGAATACCTGAGAGGAGATCTACTCCTGGAAAGCGGCATCGTAGACGAGCAGCAGCACGGCGCCAGCCACATCGAAGGCCATCTAACCTCGAGCGGCCAGCTGGAGAACGGCCGTGGTAGCAGAAGCGGAGACGACGACGAGGAGGAAGGACGTACAAGTGGGAATATTAGACGAATACAACAACACCGACAACAACAACCTCAGTATTCTCCCGCGTTCTCTGCGGCAACAGAAAGTGGTGGAGCGGCGGAATACTCGTCGGGGGACGAGAGTAGCACAGAACCAAGGGACGATTTGCTGACGTCTCCTGGTCGTGAAGAGGCAACCGCGGCAGCAACGGTGTCACCGGCAGAGCCAAAGCTATTTGATGGCGGAGATGAGCGAATCGATGGGGGATCCAACAGCAACGTCCACCATGGGGATCTTAGCAACGGCGGCGGCAATAGCAGCTTCGATCGAAGCTTGTTTTCGCCAAGTAGTCGGCCTCCGGTGGCCGGCTCCCGAATAAGCTTGGATCGTACTCAAGAGAGCGAGGAGGAGGCCGGCACTGACGCAACGACGATGCAGAGGAAAGGCAGCGACGACCCGTACGAGGACGATTTCTGTTGTGATGAAGAGGACGAGTCCCTACCGTTGTCTCTGTCTCGGCCGGAGCAGGAAGAAGGGAGAGTCACCGTCAAAAACATCAGCAGCGACAACACCATCAACCACGGTCCCGATAACGGGGGTGGGTGGGGCGAAGCAGTTACCGGCGGACACCGTGGTGTCGACGGTGGTTTTGACGTCAAGGGTCACTGGCAAGATGACAAGGATGATTCCTATTCGTCATCGTCCTCGGATGGCGTATACAGCGGCACGGTAGCGGGTGGGCTTAAGATTAACCTGCACGGTGGTGGTGTCGACGGCGTGGAGAGCGAGCGCGATGACAACGACGAGCTGACATGGGAGGGCTCTCCGGAAGGATCGAGCGCACACCATAGTTACCACAACCCATGTCAGGAAGGTCAAGAAATAAATGTAGATGGCGATGCTACAGGTTTTAGTGCCGTTACTGATTTTCGGGGTGGCACGGACGGCAGTAGTCCCACCGATGGAGTTTCTCGTCGAGACAAACCACCATGAGCTGCTCATGCCGACGATAGTGAAAAAGTGTTTTTATTAGTGAGATGTTCGGTCGCATGTACAAGTAGAACGGTTGCACGTGAAGACTTGTCATGCGGATCGTCATGGTATCAATTAGCGGCGAGTGTTAATTTTTCGAGTATTGCATAAGGAGCGGCGGTTTTTAGCCTAGACTTTAAGATACACTCTCCCTTCGTAAACAGAGAAACATATTATTCTGATGCCATTTTGGGATACGTGTGACTTAATAGTCTAATACCTGCTGAAACCAAGTGATAAAGCTCAGGGGAAACAAGTAAATGTCATCAGCCAGGCCACCGCCCCTGTTGCGTACACCTTGCATATAGACTATTGTATGTTTTTGCTAGAAAAAGGTTTGGTACAACTTATTGTGCTCTTCTTTCGCAAATGACTTGCCTTTTAGAGTCTGATGTTATGATAACGCGTCTCCAGTACCTCCAAGGAAGAGTTATTTCGAGCTTCGAAATTCCTAGCAGGGGGGGATGGGTTTACTCCAAGCTTGTGACGAATTGTACTGTAGTCTGTCGTAGACTAAAGTCGCCCCTTATTGTTCGCACAGGCGCGTAGACTAAATCCACACGTACATCCGTACGCATACATACATACATACGTAAAACACCACATTCAACCTTTGGTCAGAGAGCGAGGATACTCACCCCCTCGCCGGTCTTATGTGTTTGACACCGTCTGTTAAAGACATTGAATAATGACGGAGAATCCGCGGCGTAGAGGTGACGGATCCACGCTACGTGTCCTTTGCTCCCTCCTGTCGGTGAGGCAGTAAATAGATCGGTGATGATGTGCTTCAAATATTTATTCTATTTACCGCAGTATATAGTAGTATCATAGTACTCGAGTATAAGAGTGTCCGTGCGTATCTAAGCCTGAATTTGTATTGACATCGCTGATTACCTGCATTGGTACGTATAAATAGTGTACAACCGCCGTAGTACTACAGCGGTAGACACATGTGGATGGATGGCGTACTATTTATACGGTGAACAAAACACCCATCCATCTCATCATCATCCATCACAACAACAAGGGACCGACGGAAAAAAAATCAAACTTTTTACTGGACAATTTTCGGAGAAGAAAGCGTGTTCAACACCTCGCCCGGTGTCACCAAACCTTCACCGTACGTACACTTCTATCCCCCCCCCCATCTACACATCCCCCATTCCCGTCTTGAGAGAGTTGTAGTCCGGTGCCGGTGGTGCGGAGTGTTGTTTTGTGTGTGAGTATTATTTCCTATTCCTAAACAAAGTGAAAGAATTTCAGGAAAAAATGAAACAACGGCGCGCAGAGCTCGTCTTCTCTTTTTCTCTCTACGAAACCCGTCATTCCTGTGGGTGTGCGCGCGCGGCGCCCGAACCGGAGTACCAATAGCCTCAAAGCAAAGGTTAATAAAGGGACAGAGGCAGACCGACGGGTAGCGGGAGGTGTGGGGGAGTTCGGCGTCTCGAGAAGCGCCTACACTGCACACGCGCAGGCACTCACTGATCGTGTCCTTTCTGGATCCTGACCCTCCTCACCCGGAAAGCTGAGCTCATTTCGGGGAGAGAGGCGCCTCACAGCAAATCGAGACAAACCAAGAGGGCGGCCGAAACGGGGATGCTTGTCGTTGTGATTGTGCCATGGAAGATGTGCGACAGCGGCTTGGGGGAATGGGGCTCAGTGGCGTGACGTTGGAGCAGCTGTCCGGGGTCGAGTGGAAGCTCGGCGAACTCAAGGCAAGGATAGCTGGTGTGACAGTTTAGATTATAATAAGAGTAGCAGCAGCGCCATTGTTTCTGTGTGTAGTGTGGCCGAGCGAAAGGAGTGTGTGTTTTTATGCATACTATAATAGCGAGTCAGCAACAGCCGAAAAAGTGGACGTTAGGTGCCATGGTCATGCGTGATGGACACAGCCGCTGCCGGGATTAGAAAGGGGCGAGGCTTGGCTCTCTTGGGTGTGTGTCTCCCCCTCTCTGGCCTATGTACAGTACAAACCTCGGGTACCTCCCGCTTTGGCCTGGCTGTGTCCGTTAGAGTCTACGTAGGGCGAAAGGCGAAAGGGCCCCCCCGGAAGTCACTGACTGACAGACTTGAGCGACGCGGACACACTTTCGAAGACAGCGCTCATTTTGTTCCAGATGGCGCGATCTTGAATGAATGTTTCGATACTCAACCCTTGCCCCCCCGAACAAAACCATGCCCTCTTGCTCGAGTGTACAGCTGTCATGACCACGTCTTGGATCAAATGTCTCTCTGTATATCTCTATCTCCAGTAGTTCACCACAGTCCAGCAGTGGTGTTTGTCGCTGAAATCGTTTCAAGAGGTGTGAGATCCCTGCCCCTACACACAAGTGCACCAAATCTACTGCTGTAGGCTATAGGTCGATGTGTGATACCACCGTATTGTAGTCATTCCCGTTTTCTATTCTGCTCTACTGCTGTAGTTCCTCTCTCAGTTGAAACCATTTTGGGATTATGTTTGTTTGGGTCCACAAGAGAAGCCCGGAACAGCAGACCGAATAGGCTTGGGTTTACATGTCCATCTGCATAAAATACGAGATTGCGTGCGCGACTCTTCCCCAACTATGATACGTAAATGACAAATGTTGTACCGGTGTTTGGGATCCTGCCTTCCGGGTGCATGTTACCCTGACTGCTGTTGTGGTGCCGTTGTGTCGCGATCAGTTGAGCATACCACCGCCGTAGGAGGCGTTATCCCACCGCACGACAACGCCCGCCGAGGCGAATGTGTGCAGACCGCTGTTACATGAGCGACGGACGGGGTCACGGCGGCAAACGTCCTGCATAGAAAAAGAACATTGCTGTAGCAGCAACCCACGTTTCCTAACATGCCGCCTGCTGCCCCTTACCGGTGTTTGGGATCCTGCCTTCCGGGTGCATGTTGCCCTGACTGATGTGGTGCCGTTGTGTCGCGACCAGTTGAGCATACCACCGCGGTAGGAGGCGTTATCCCACCGCACGACAACGCCCGCCGATGGCGAATGTGTGCAGACCGCTGTTACATGAGCGACGGACGGGGTCACAGCGGCAAACGTCCTGCATAGAAAAATAACATTGCTGTAAAAGCAGCAACCCACGTTTCCTAATATGCCGCCTGCTAGTTTGAGTTGCCCCTTAGAGCTGCGGCTGGTATGTATGTATCTATCGCAACCTGATTCTTAGTTAACCACCCGGTCTTATAACACGCAGTTTGAAGGGGGTGGTATCGACGACGACATCGACGCCACCGGCCTGCGTCTCGGAGGCGTGCACTTCGGTGCGTCCCCAGATAAAACCGGGCAAGTGCCGCTGTCATCGATCCCACCCATCCCGGCACCTTCCAAGGGGCGCGTCGGCGGCGGCGGCGGCGGCGGCGGCGGCGGCGGCACGGCCGCTGCTACCCCTAATGGCTTCAATGCCCCCTCCTCGCGGCCCGCCTGGGCTCGAAAGGTGCCAGTGGTGGGCGGGGGCGACAGCGCCGGTGGTGTTTCGACGGCGGCGGCCGCGACGGGAAGAAACTACGGCGGGGTGCCACCGCCGCCGCCGCCGCCTGCGGGCTCCGCGGAGGTGCTTGAGGAGCGGCTGGCGGCGGAGAGAGCGTTCGGTAGCATGGACCAGAACTCCGGCAGGGTGTCCGCCCGTCGCTTGGAGGAGCTGCTGACCCTGCTGGGCATGCCGGCGGCGCAGAGGGGCGCGAAGGCGACGGAATCCGCGAGGGCGGCGGGACTTTTGAACGCACCTTCTTTTTCTTGCCAGGAGTTCGTGGATTGGTGAGTTTGTTTGTGGTGTAGGCAGAGGAAAGGAGGCCTGGGGACATGATGATTACGGCTACAATGACCGCACTGGGTTTTTCTCCTGCCTTGCACAGCCTCGCGAGTGTAACATAGCAGAAAAGCAGTTGCTCGTGAGTCTTAGCGCCCACGTTGCGTATTTCGGTTTGCCGGGCATGGGAGGCTCGCACTTTGCCGCTCGCCCTGTTTCCGACTGGTCGATAACCACCCGACCACTCTTGACCCTGGTTTTTGAGAAGATGCGAGGGTCGAGAGAAAAGACGCGACGGGCCGCGACGGGCCACACATGATCACGAGTGCGCGCCCCTCGTGTCCCGAGGGCATGTACGGCATCCCCGGCTTGACCGTTTTCGAGTTACACCAAAAAGAAGCCTGTTCGCTCGTGGGGTTCCTAAAAAAACGCGTGCGCCGCTCACTCTTTTCGTTCAGGTACCTGTCCTGGTTGTTCAAGAAAGAGGGGCCGCCTGGCGGAGGCGCGTCCAGCAACGGCACGGCGGACGGTCAGCCTCCCACGTACCGACCCTTCCCGGGGACCAATGGCGACGACGACGGTTCCTTGTTGTCATCGTCCTCCTCCGATGATGATGACGATGACGATGACTATGACGATGATGAGGATTCTGACGCGGGCTCTGGTTCTGCTCCCCCCAGCGACTACGGCGATGGCCCGATTCGCGGCGGCGAGGAGAGGCTCGGGCGGTTCAAGGATCTCTCGCTGGGCGGCAGCGACGGGGACGATGAAGGCGGCGCCGCGGTGGCGGCGGCGGCCACGGCGGCTCTGCGGGCGGCAGCAGTGGCGTACGCGTCGCGCTCCTCAAGCAGCAGCAGCAGCAGCAGCAGCAACAACAACATTAGTGCCAACAACGAAAACTCCGACCCCAGCTGTCCCCGGCGCAGCTTGCCTCGGCAGGCGGCGGCGGCGGCAGCGGTGGGACGCCAGAGCGGCGTTGCGGTGGGCAGCAGCGGTGGCGACGGGAAACACTGTTCAGATCACGTCGTCGAGAACGGCAACCGGCCTACTCAAGAGACCGGAGAAGGGTCTTCCTCTTCCACTGGCGAAGCGTCAGGGGCAACCTCTTCGGAGGCAACCGGCCCGCCGGAGTCATCATCCGCCGCCACGGCTCCAGCGACACCGCGGCCTAGGTTCCAGTTCGGGGTGCCGTCGCCGCAGGGGGCAGGGGCGCCCGGAAG